TGTCACCCGTGGGGGTGCGGCGGCCGGGGGGCAGCCAGCAGGCACAGCCAGGTCGCTGCAGGATGTCGCGGAGCTGCAGAACGGCGATGCCCACCGTCCGGTCCTCCCGGGCAAAGCAGTAATCCTTCACACATACCTGCAGCTCGTAGCACTCGGGGCCCGTCTCTGTCCCCAGCGTGCTGCGGGGGGGCAAGGGACAGGCAGTGTTGGCATAGGAGGTCACGCTCCCAGGCCCCCCCCATATGGATGCTGCCTCCCCATCACCCCTAAAAATGCCATTTCTTTTTTTTTTCTTTGCCCCAATCCCTGCTTTTACCCACAAGAAATCATCTAAAACATCCCCTGGGGGATGAGCGTTTGCTCCTCCCAGGAGGAGGGGGTCCCCACGTCACGGGGACATGGCCCACAGCCCGGCCCCGCATCCCCAGCCCCATGGTGCCACTCACAACTGGAAACTCTCGTTGTACTTGGGGGCCCAGCTGTTGTTCTTAGATTTGGTAGCAAATTTCCTCTTCTTGTCACTGAGGTGAGGCCCAATGATGTTGACCTCGATGAAGGGCCGGAAGATGCCTGACGTCTGCCACTTGAGGTCATTGGCAGCCACCACTGCAAGGAGGGGGCATGTGAGGCTCGTGGGACGCTGCCACCTCCCAGACCCGGGCACCCCAGCCAGCAGAACCCACCTTTGACAGTGACTTTATGTTCACCAGTGCCAGGGTGAGTGAAGAGCTCCACATGGATGGACACCTCCCCAACAGGGTCATCCACTCCAGAGCCTGCATGGTGAAGGGAGCAGACATGAGCGCCTGTTCCCCTGTGTCTTTGACATCCTCTGCTCACCACCAATGCCACTGGAGGAGGCAGGTCACCTGCCATGGGGCGGGAGGGGGTGGGCAGTAGGATTTGGCCCAACGTGGCCTCTGCCAAAGAGTTCTGGGGAGAGCAGCATGGGTGCAGCAACTGTTGAGGGCGGCTGGGGCTGGAACCAGGCTGGGCCAGGGCATGGCAGGACATTCCCAGTGCCAGGCTGGCACCCAGCAAGCCCCCCTTGCCCAGGCAGGAGCTGAGGTGCCTGGGTGGGATGGGGCAGGGGACAGTGGCCCTGCCCCCCCTGCTGTTGGCATGGGGGGGTTGGTGCTCCGTGCATGGCTATCAGCATGGGCACAGCACTGGGGAGGAGGGACCTGACCTGGCCCTTGTGCCACAGGGCAGCCACGGCACGGCCAGGGGCTTGGGGCTGCCCTGCCCCTTCTTGTATCCCCTTCATCTCAGGGACCACATCAAGCCCTGGGGTCCCCAAGCCTGGGGAACTTAGGTGACCTGCAACCAGTAGCCCAGCCCACCCCCTTTCCCCCAGGAGCCGTGCATGCACCCATGGGTGAAGGAGGGGGTGCAAGGCAAAGGGACAGGCTCCATGGGTCAGATGGAGCCAAGGAGATCAAACCGAGCTCAGCAGAAAGCTTCCAGAGTGAAAATACCAGTGCGAAGGAGGACACGTCCCCGTGTGTCACTGCATGGCCCCAGCACGAGGGTGCCAGGCTGGCAGGGAGGCTGGTGATGGCCCACGCTCCTCTCCATCCACCTTCATCCTCTGCCCGACCCCCGGCACCGTGTCCCCCAGGCACCCGCCACCCAGGCAGTGCCGCATGCTGAGCCGAAATGGAGGCAATGGCGGGCGAGGAGGGGGTGTCGGGGTACAGGAGGCCAAGCATGGGGTGTGGTCCCGGCCCCTCTGGCAGGGTGCGATGGAGGCCAAGCGGGGCCCATGGAGCTGGGCTCATTCCTCACGCCCCAGGGCAGGCGGACAGAGCTCACCGGAGCAAGGCTAGTAATGGTCCTCCTGGCAGCAGGGTGGGCGGGAGGAGGTGCCCATCCCCAGGCAGCAGCACTGGGGACAATGTGGGGTGCCCAGAGCTTGCAAGCAAAGGTGGCCACCCCTATCCCCATGGGGCACAGACCCCCTCCCTGGTCTGGGTGGTGGCCAGTACAGCTGAGCACAGTTTCTCCCAGTTCATCCCAAAGCAGCCCTGGGAGTGCGAGTCTGCGTGCAGAGGGCTCCAGCTCTGCTCACACTCGGGGGTCCCCAAGGCCAGCAGTGCTGGGATAGGGCTCCTGGCCACCCCAGCCCGCAGTGCCGGGACTGTTACTAGCCCAGGCCGGCGGCAGCAGGCAGGTGCAGGGGCGGGCGAGCAGCGCACGTACCCTTCTCAGGATAAATTTCTTCACTAAGTGTAAACCTAATACCTTTCCCACCATGAACTAGTGGGAAGGAGGAAGAGAGAGACAGAGACACAGCACGGAGTAGATGAAGAGAGGAGGAAGGAGACGATGTGCGTGGGGGATAGGAACAGTGAAAGAGGGGGGACAAAACAGAGAGAGAGAAAGAGAGATCAGATCTCGCAGACAGATGGACGGCCGAGCATCCGGACAACACTGCAGCGACACAGGAGTGCCGGGCACCGCCCGGCTCTGAGCCCAGGGCGCCCTGGGGCCAGGTTGCACCCAGGGGCGCTGGCACCCACCGGCCCCAACCCCACGCCCCCAGCATGGCTGGCACAGGAGGCACGGACAGGACAGACGTGCCTTGCAGGAGACGCACAGACAGCAAATGCATGTCCCACTCCCGAGGACGCAGACAAGCCTGGCTGGGGGTCTATGCGATGGCCCACGACCACCACCGGGCATCTCTGCCCCCTCCTCCAGCAGCCAAGGGATAAAATAAAGGGCAGCACTTAGAGCCAAGGGGTAGCCCTGCACCGGAGGCTGCCAGCACCCTGCCGCACGGCTCTGGAATGGGGGCAGCACCTGAGAGGCACCCGGCACCCGGGACAGGTCCCAAATCATGGGGTATGTGGGGCTCCCAGCACACCCAGGCCAGGCCCTGGCACAGCACCCGGACCCAGCCGATGCTGAGAGAGGTCAGAGCCCTGGCCAGGCTGGCACCGCTTGGCTGCAGTAGCTCCAAGGCAGCACTGGACCGGAGGCGCCTGTGCTGGGTGCCAGGGACCATCCAGAGAGGACAAACACTGTGACACATGGCCAGAGGGTGACTTTCGCCCCCCCCCACAGGCCCAATTTCTGCCAGCCCAGCCATGCCCTGGCACTGGGGACACGCTCTTCTTGCTGGTGGGGGAATTGGGGGTGCTAGGCTGCCTCTGGGCACTCATGGCCCCTCTTCACCTGCAAACCATGGGAGGAAAAAGCTCTTCCCTCCTCACCCATCCCTCCCACGCCTCCATGAGCCTGGCTGGGACCCCCGACCCCACCGGGACAGAGGCAGGGTGCCCCCTGGCCATGGGGCAGCAGAGCCCATGCATGGGGATAAGGGGCGCGGATGGGGGGCCAGGGCAGTGCATCCTACCCTGCGAAGACTGGGTCTGCACAAAGGTTTTGATGAGGAGGTCGGTGGCCTGGGTGTAGAGAGACAGGGCGTAGCGCAGCGACTGCAGGTCGGGGCTCTTCTCCAGGAATGTCTTCTTCAGCCCCACGCCACCAGCATGGAAGTATTGCTGGAGGGGGGCAAAGGCCGTGGGGTCTTCAGCGGCTCTGCTGGAGCCCCCCCACTACCCCTTGGGTCCGTGCCCCAGGGCCAGAGCCCTCAGGGGCACCCCTTTGTACCCCAGAGTGCCCTTACCTTGATGGTGTCCAGTGCCAGCTCCACCACTGCACATTGCTTTGGGGTCAGACTCTTGGCCTCCTCCCGCACCATGTGGTCCTGCAGGGCACAAATCCTGCTCTTAGAATGGAACCAGGACCCTGCGCCCCTTACCCCAGCCGTGCCAGCAAATGATCACTGGTGCAGTCCTTGCAACAGTGCTAGTGCCAGCCTGAAAAGTGCCACCCGTCCCAGCAGAGAGGAGCTCAGGCCCCCCCAGCCCCTCCAGCCCAGCCTCCCAGCCCTCACCTTCAGCTTGGAGAGCTGCCCCAGCTCCTTCGCTGCGTTGAAAATCATCTGCGTGCCCTGCAGAGAGCAAAGAGACAGTAACGGCCCCGGTGAGCGGCCGGGCTGGGGGTGCCATGGCCCAGTCTGGGCACGCGGTGCCAGGAGCTTGCTGCAGCTCTGGGGGCTCCCCTGGCCCACCAGGCTCCAGGGGACGCGAGGGGGGCTCCTCAGAGAGCCCCAGGGGCCACCAGCCATGCCAGGCATGGTGATATGGGCGCAGGGAGCTGGTACAGCCCCCACCCCAGCCCCTGAGGTCTCAGGTATGTGGCTGGGGGCTTGGGGACTCCAGGGTAGGACATGGCCCTGGCATCAGGGACCTCACACCCTGCTCAGCACGAGCAGCTTCGCCCAAGGGTCCCATCCTGCCCCTTGTGGTGCTCAAGTGCCTTCTTCTGCATCCAACAGCGCCCAGCACGGCACATCACTGGCACCACATGGGCAATCGTACGACATCGGGGCGGGGGGAGCAGAAAGCAGGGGGACATTGGGCACGGGGGGGATGCGACGCAGTCCCACTGTACCCCATGGCACTGGCAGCCAAGCCAAACGTCCCCCTGCCACCGGACCACTGCCCATGCCCAGCCCCTTTGCACCCCAGGGAACACTGTGGGTGGGAGCCCCTGGCCACCTTCGCCGGCCCTGTGCCATGCCACCCACACGGGCAGGGGCTATGAAGCCATTCCATGGGGCCCACTGGCACGGTCCCAGGCACGCAGCCCCACGGCACAAGCAGATCCCGCTCACCTCCCTGGTCTGGCACCCGCTCACCGGGCTGAGCGCAAGCTCAAGCCTTCCAGTGTGCAACATGCAACTGGGTAAACTGGGGCCCAGTGGGCAGAGCCAGTGATTCCCACCACCTTCCCCCTCCCAGCATCAGTAGCTCCAGTCCTTCCCAGCAATGAGAAACCCCAGCATCTATCCCACTAAGCGCTACCTTCTGCAGGGGTCTGGCCCCCCACA